AATATTACAAAACTAATAAATAAAAGTTTGATATGCTTATTATTATCACAAATATTCCTAAAATAAATTAATTAAAAATTTATAAGAATAATAAAAAGTAGTAATTATAAAATTTTATATAAACTAATAAATAAAAGTTTTAATATTCTTTTTTATTATTCAATTATAACTTTAAAAAAATTAATATGGAACATTTTATTTTCTTATAAAAAATAGTAAATTGAAAATTTATACATGTATTAAAAAATATTTCGAAACTCATAAAAAAATTAAAAAAAATATTAATTTTTTTAAAAATATTTTCTTATAAATTATTATATAAATAATTATATAAAAAATAAAAATTTTTATAATTTTTTTTAAATAATTTGAAAGATTTTACTAAAATTTTATTAAAAATAGTAAAAATAAAAATTTAAATATAATATATTCAAAAATATTATAGAACGTATAAATAAATGTTTTGATATGCTTTTTATTATCTTTTGTATTAATGATAGTTAAAAATACGGCTAGTATAAAGTTTTTATAAGAAATAATTATAATAAAAATTTCTTTAAAAACAAAAAAATGGAAATTATATGTTTTTTATTATTTCAACTTTTTATATTAAGAATATCTATATAATACTATATAATTATTAAACTTTTAAATGAAAAATGAGAAATGAAAGTTTCAATGCTTAATTTTATGATTTTTAATATTAATTATAGTTAACAATGTAAAAAGTTTTAAGTAACCTAACCTCAACCCTTAACCCTAAACCCTAAGAACTAATTATAAAAATATTAATGTTATTTATTTAAATAATATAATTATTATTTTTTAATATTATTTATATTAATATAAATGAAATACGAATGAGAGTTTTAATAGCTTATTTCTATTATTTCAAATATTAATAAAATAAATAATACGAAAAGTTGTTAAAAAATATGTAAATACTTCTAATAAAAACATTTATATATGCTTATGCTTATTTTAATATTTTTTAAACTAAATTTAATAAATAATTATGTTAAAAGTTTAAGTATATTTATAAAAATAACAAAAATAAAAATGTATATCATAATGTAGAAATGATTTTTTTAATAAATTATATAATAGCTTATCTTTATTATTTGATATATAATAAACAATATGAAGTGGTTATAACTTTAAAGAATATAATATATTTATTAATAAAAATATTCAAAACTTAAAAAAAATAGTTAATTTTATATCCATTTAAAACTTAAAGTTTTAATTATTACAATTATTTATACAATTCGGAAGTTAAAAGTCATATTATATTTTTTTATTTAATTGATTATAAATATACTAAAATATAAATAAAGTAAGAATAAAGTTTTCACTATATACTTTATATAATAATAAACTTAAAAATACCGAACTTTTTTTGTGAATTACTTTTAATTTTACTGAGTAGAGCTCATTAAACCACCGCCCAACATTTACACTATTATTCAGAATGTGATCAATTCGAAATGGGATGAAGTGGCGCCAGGTTGTTTGATTGGTGGAAGCAAAAAATTATATTAGTTTTTCTGTATCTCTTTTATGCATTTTTATATAATTTTAGTACTTTCCTGTATTTTTTTGTCAACCAGTATATTTTTATTTTTTAAATTTAAAAAAATACATCTACTAAAAAAGGAATTATACATGTGGTTGATGCGTTATTTGAAACATTTGAATACAAGTCTTCTTCTGGTTGGCTCGTTATGTCATTCAAAAAAATGACCTAATTTTATTGGTTTATTAGTATCATTGAAATGTTTGGATATAGCCGCTCATTTGTTGGTTTCTGCTTATAAAGTAAAGCCAATACATTCCATATGCCGTAGGAATAGTGATTTTTTCCTTTATACTACTAAGAAAATATTTTTATATATAAAAATAAAACTTTTCTCATTACTCTTCTTGAATATTCTCTTTAACTACCAATAAAAACTAATTTTTTTAAAGTATTTATTGATCTATTTTACACATGAAAGGTTTTAAGTTATTATTATAATGTGACATTTTTAATAATTTTTAAAGCACTTTTTAATCATTATTGTCTTATTATCCAGTATAATAATATTTTTACAAATTCTCATTTTTTTTAAAAAAAATTATATATTTATTTAAGTTTTCAAACAATACTAGTAAATAATCTTATAATATTAAATAAAATAATTATTGCTCCTTTATTAATGCTTTCATAATACATTTATTATTATCGTTATTATATATTTAACATTATATTGTTTTTAGTTTATAATAATAATAAGCAAATACTCTAATAAAAATTATAATATCAATAAAAAATATAGTGTTTACAAATAACTGAAATTCAATAAAATTATTATAATAACAATTATATTACACAAATATAAACCGTGATTAATAATAATATTTATTTTTTTACGTTCTAATAATATTTTTGAGTAGTAATGAAACTCTTCCTTTTTAAGTTCTTTTCATATTAAATAGTTTTTTTTACTAAAAACTGTATAATTATACTTTTTGTATAATTTCTATAACTTATGAAGGGTTTTCCATAACTTAATTTATTACTATTGTTAATTTTACTATTATAATAATTTGTAATTTTTATATCAATTTTTTTCATTTTTATTTGTTATAATAATGATAAATGCTTTTATACTTTTATTTATTATTATAATAAAAAATCCTTTTTAATTTTTACTTGTTATTTTTTATAGAACTTTAAACTTTTTAAAAACGAAGTGGTTTCCTATATATTATCGAAAATCACTGGAAACTTTGAGTCGTCCACAGTTTATTGTTTAAAAGCTCTTAAAATAATCATTCAAGAGGATATATTCTTTGCACTGGAGTACAATTTTAAAGTACTTTTGTAATTGAATGTTGTATATTTTCATGTTATTTTTTGATAGTTTATATGATAATCATGCTTGGCTGTTTCGTATTTATTCAATTTATGATTGCATGTGTTAAAGGCTTCTTGTTTGTATTAAAGTTTAATACTCACTAGTAACTTTTTATCTTTTAATTTATATTATTGATGTTTGGATGTTTATTTCCATTGAAAATTATGATTACTGTTTTTTTTGTAAAGTTTGTAACTAGCTTAATTATTTACTATTTATCCATTCTACAAGTGGATGTTCAAATTCACAAAATTTATTGGTTTGTTATTATTATTTCTATTAGTGAAGGAAAGTCTACAATAAAATAATAAACTTTTTTCTGTTCTTACTATTTACTGTTTTATGATTGGCTAACTAATATAATTTTTTAATTGGAAAATTGAACTCATTGTAACTTTTGATAATTTTTTAACGTTTTTTTATAATTTTATTATTCTCGTTATTATTTTTTTTATCTAAACTCTTTCTTTTTATATATATTTTTAAAGGGATTAATTAAATTATTTTTTGTTTTGAAAAATAATAAAGTTTTTAGAATATTTAAAATATTAATTTTATTATTTTTTATAATGTTATTAAAATATATAACAAACTTTTTTGTATACTAAAAATAAAAATAATAAAGTTTTATAGTAATTTTCTTAATTATTTTTTTTAATATGTATAATTACTAACATATATTCTAATTTTTACTTTCTATAACGAAAAACTAACTACTTTTTGGTAAATTATAAATATTGAGGAAAACTTTAGGAAGTCTTATTTATAAATAATTTTACTTTATTATAATTATTTATTGAACAGTATACTAAATAATGCGTTAAAGAAAGCTATTATGAAATATATTACTTATAATTCATAATAAAATGTTTATAAAAACTTAAAAGAGTAAAAAATTTTATTAATATTATTAATTTATTACAAACTTTATTACTTTTATTAAACGGTTAACGTTATAAATCTATAAGCTATTAGAAAATATTTTTCTTTTACTTGTATTTTTTATAAAAATTTACACATAACAAATATTAGATATGTTATTATATTATAAAATTTATTACTTTTCTTATTAAATCAGTTTATTTTATATTTATTATTTTTACTTAAAAGTTTTTTTATATTCGCCTGTAAAAAATATTATAATTAGTGATTTTATTAATAATATTATAACTTAAAACGGTTTTTATTTTCATTTTAAGGCTTTACTAGATTTTAAAAAACTTTCGATTATTTTATTATTTAATTAACTTTTTAAAAACGTTTTTATAATAGTACTCAAAAAATGCCAAAAAGATAAAAATTTTAAAGACTTAAAAAGTAAAAAAAAAATTACTTGACATAAAAATTTATATTTTTTGTCTTTAGATTTTATAATAAAATTTTCTTTAATAACTTTGTCTTTATTATTAATAAAAAGTTTTAAATATTCGGACGTAAAAATAATATCAAAATATGAACTGAATTTTACTTTTATTATTAATTTTTATTAAAAAAATTATACATATTTGTACGTACAAAAATAATAAAATTGTTTTTTCCTATAAACTTAATAACTTTTACTATAAAACTGTACTTGATAATACTAAAAAGTGTAATAATAATATCTAACTTTTATAATTAATATTATATTATAATAAGAAATCTTGTACACAATTAAACTTAAAAAAAAAGCAAGATATTTTGTTTTCATTATTATTTTTATAATTTTTCAATACTATATTAAACAATAGAGAAAACTACTACTTAAATATTTACTTCTATCAATAATTTTATGTTGAACAAATTATTATTAAAAAAGTCTAATAGGTTTTACTTAAAAACTATAAAGAAATTATTTATAAAAAATTATTACTTTTTACAATAATAATGAATAATAAAAATAAATAAAAAAAGAAATATTTCTAATTTTTACTCATAAAGTTATAAATTTATAACTTTTTCTAAAACTTTTTATATAAATAAATAGAAGTGATGAACTTTTTTCTGTAAAACTTCTATTTCTCTATACTTTTTTATAGCTAACTGAAGTCCTTAACTACATTACCTTTCTACGTTATGAAGCTGCTGCTCTTTTATTGGACGCTGTGTTTCCGCTTTTTTTTTATAGCGCGCCAATTAAAAACGCTTTTCTTCTTGTTCTTCGGAAACTCATGTTTTCACGGTTATTATATAATACAAATTCCATACTTATAATAATATTACAATTATAATAATTATAAAAGTTAAACTGCTACATATAAATATTATAATAAAAAATTATCATAGAAGTAATAATATAAGTAATAAATAATACTTTTTATATATATTTATTCAATATTTAAACTTTATATTAATATATAATAATTCTATTACAGAAAATTAAGTTTCCTTATAAATGACTATGCTAGTATTAGTAATATTATATTTATAAGTTCCTTATTTAGTAATGTTTAATGAAAAAACGTAAAATGCAGCGGGTACCGTACTTGTAATAATACTATTTAATAAAAATAAAAATAAAACTATTTTTCTTAATAATAGAAGAAATTGCTGATATAAATAGTCCCTCTTAAGTTATTTGCATCTATTCCGTATCTATTCTTTCTCCTTTTGCTCACGGGCATCCTGCATTCGACTATCTACAAGCCGGCAATACTCAACTTTTATTTTTATTTTATAAATCTCATAAAAAAAATTATATAGTATTTCTTAATATAAATATTAATGGATTTATTTTTATATTTGTATTAAATTTTAACTTTATTCCATTTATATTATTTTAAAAGTTACACATATTTTTATATAATAATATAAATATTAACAAACTAAGATTTTGTATATTATTTTCAGTAACTATCTTTTTCTTAATAACTTTTTACTATTATTTTAATGAATCATTGAAAAAATTATAAATTTGTATTTTGAATATGATTGGATTTTCTTTTTCATAATAGTAATAACATTAAACTTTTATTACAAAATGTGTTTATTATAGAAGTTGCTCATCATTTTTTACCCAGTAATTCTATTGATATTAACTTAATAACCAATAATCCAAAAATAATAAAATTTTCACAGCGAGGAAAGCAGCAGATTCTTATCTGTTTATGGCTACACGCTGATCCTTAAACACTTGAATATACCTGGACATATGCCTAGCAACCAATCATTTTCGTTTAGTTCGCAATCTATTTTCTCTCAAAACTCTTTTATTGGTTACTTTAATATATTTATGTATATTTTTTTTTTTTAAAAAAATAAATTTATTATAAAAGTTTAGAACTATCATAAAAAACTTTTAATTATTAGTATTTGCTATAAAATTCATATGAATTACATATCTAAATAATTTTTAGTTTTTGATAATATTTATAACAAACTTTTTTAAAAACTTTTTTATTTTTTATATTGTTTTTCTTTTTATATGATAATAAATATTTTTATTTATTTATATCAAATCTTATAGTTTTTAATAAAATTTATATTCAAAGTTATTATAATAAAGTTAAAACTTTTTTTAATATTTAACTTTTTTTATTTATATCTATTTTTTATTATTGTTTTTATTATAATATAATAATAAATACATATTTTGTTAATACAGAACTTTTGATTTGCTTTCTATAAAAATATAAATTAGTATTTTATCATTTTTGAAATCTTTTTAAAAACTTTCTATTATGTTCTGGTTATTTGACAATATACCGTCATTAGCCACTCACATTAATCTTTATTTATTAATAATTCCAGACTCTGACACGTGGGTTCACAAGCATCTGTATTACGAAGTTATTGGTTCTTGTTTACTTTATAATTATATATTTTTCTTATATTTTTTATTTAGTTTATTATGTAGTTTATATAAATTTATAAAAAAAAATTGAACGGCTATAAAAGTACTATTCAAATTTTAAAAGTATAAAAGAATATGAAAAATTGTATATTTACTATTATATAAGCAATTTACTTTATTTCAAGCTGGTTTTTTCTATATTTATATAATAAAACTTTTTAATGCAAAGTTTTACAGTAAACAAAATGGACTTTATAAGTAAAACTACCATTTAAAGTAAAAGAAAATCAAAAATTATATAAACTTTTACTTATAGTTAATATAATAATAGTAATGATATATTTGATGATTTTATGTATTTAAGCAAATTCATGTTCCTGCAACCAGATACTTTTCTATTTATTTCTTTTTGTTTCAAAAAACTTTTTAAGGCAAACTTAAATAAAGAAAATGAACGACTATAAAAATTATTGTTATTAATACATTTATATTTTTTATATATTTAGGCAAATTCATTTTTCTGAGAGTTACTAATATATATTACTTTATACTTTATTATAATTTATAACTTATCATTTTTACAATTTTTATTTATTAATCTATTTTATTTCTATTACAATTAATAACATTTATTATTCTTTATATTTTTAAACCTTTCTACTATAAACATGTAAGTTTTACATACAAAATAACAATATATATATATTTTTATCTAATGCAAGTAACGGTTATTTCTTATCGTTCTTTTCATAACCATCATCTAGAGTAAAAAAACATTATTAATCTTAAAGTTGATATTATTATCATTTTTAATATTATATAATTTTATGTTTTTAAAAATACTTTAACTTCTAGTAATAATAATATTTAAATATACTTTTCTATTCATCTGTATTTCCATCTTAAAATTATTTTTATTAATTTTTTTTTTTCAAAAATTTATATTTAAATTTTCTTTTATATTTTCTAAATTATTATTAATATATTTTATTGCTTATTCGCTTTATATATGATTCAAATAATTTTATTTTTATTAATAAAACTTTTACTTCTGGTTATCTTTATTTTTCTATTTTTCTATTTTTTTACTTTATATACTATTACTTTTATATTTACTAATATTTAATACATTTATTATTTATTAAGTACCAGAAACTAAAATTTTACTTCTAATTATTTCATTTTTATTATAGTTCTATTTATATATTTTTACTTTTTATAAATTACTTTTATATTTTATGATTTTATATTTTTTTATATAATTATTTGCTTAATAATTATTATAATTTTTTTTAATAAGAAAACATTTACTTTTAATAATTTATATTTCCAACTTTTCTTTTACTTAATATAATTTTTTATTTCTTTTATTTTTTTTGTTGGTAAATAAATATTTTTGTTTCTTATACTATTTATATAATTTTTATGCTTTATTTATATTTTTAGCATTATTTATAAATTTATTATTTTTTTTATAAAGGCCTTTTGAAGCGCTTCTTTTCTCAACAAGCGAAAGTTAAAAACCTTTTATATGAAAAGTTATTAAAAGCTGGACAAGAAAATAATGCTCTTTTAGAATCGCTCATTTCATTACTATTTAACCACGTGCAAAGCTTTTTATTACTTTTTATTTTCTTTTTATTTTATATTATTTACTATAATTTTGCTTATTATTATTAATTATTTATTAACATTATGATTTGTAAATTTTTATTATTTATATTTCATATTATAAAATTTTATAAAAAATTATTATTAGTAAAATTTATTTTTTACATTTTCTTCTTCATATATTATATTATTTGTTAAAATTTTACATATTAGTAAAATTTATTTTATTATAATTACTTATTTATATTAATATGATTAATCGAAATTTTACCTTTACTATTTACTCCCTCATTACTAGTAAATTTTGTTTATATATATTGTATAATTTTATATTATTCATTAAAATTTTACTTTTTATTATTTTCTTATTTAGATTTACTAATGTTATACTATACTATCAATGATATTATAATAAAAATATTCTAATAAGCTATTATTACTTTTTAATATATAATAATAATTAATATGAAAACTTAACGTTCTTTATTATTTATAAGGTTTGTTATGTTTGTTTATATTTAATATGTTTTTTTACTTTATTATTTTTATTATTATTATTTATTATTATTATTATTATAGCTTTCAACATTTCTTACGACTGGCAGTGCCAACGAACTAAACATCGATAATTGTTTTATTATTGAAAATGAAAAAGTTTTTGCACGAGAAGAGCTTCATTATTTATTTTCTTCTGTCTGTCGTTTGCTTTTGCTTATTAAGAAAAGTATCCTTTTTTTTTTAAAAGTTCACATATTCAAAATATATAAAAACTTTCAATATAAATAATCAAGATATTAAATATCTTATAAAGTTTATATTAACTTATTATTAAAATTAAATATAATAATAATACAAGTGAGTCATAAAAAGTTTAAATAAATTAAAAACTTAAAAATAAAATTAAAGATGTTAAAAGTATATACATAAAATGTAAAAAAAAATTTACATTATAAAAAGTTTAATTTTTTTAATGAAAAAAAATAACAAAAATAAAATTTGAAATTACTGAAAAATATCAGTGCAAAATTAATAATGGTTATATATAATATATTAAAACTAATACTATTTCCTATTAAAAATTTGAAACTACCAATAATATTTAAAAAAATATAAATAAAGTATAATAATTTAAAAAAATATATAAAAAATAACATAAATAGTAAAGAGGTTGTATGGTAAAAATAAACGCTTATAAACTTTTATATATTTTTATTATTTATATAAAATATATTAAAAATCAGAATTAATAAGAGAATATTAACAGAACAATAAATTGTTTTAAAAAAGATAAAAAGTAAATATAAAAAATATGGTAAAATTAATAACAAACAATAAGCTTTTATAAAATATTATTAATTTTTATAATAATCATGATGTGAATAAAAAAGATTTTTATTTATTTATTATAAAGATAATTTAGAATTATTAATAAAAATTTAAATACTTTTTCATGAAGAAATCCAAAAAATAATATTATAAATTTTTTTTATATCATTATAATAATAGTATTATAGGAACTATTATTAACTTTTTTATAAAATATAGAAAAATATCTTTTTTTATCCTAAATAAAATCTATACATATATTTATGAAAAAAAAAATTTATTATTACAAATAGAATATAGCAATTATTATCAAATATTTCATGAAATATAGAAGCATTTTTATTTATAATATTTATTAACTATAAATATTTGTATAAGGCAAATTTTTAAAAAAAAACTTGAAGAAAAAAGGAGATAAAATATAATTAACTTTATAATTGTACAAAAAATAAAATAATTAATTTTTTTGGATTTATAAAAAGCATTCAGAAAATTTGTATTCTTCTATTAAATATAATTAATTTCTTAGCAGAAATATAATTAAAAAAAATAATAACATTAAAAGAAATTTAAAATATTTTATGATAAAATTGAACGTAATATATAAAATAATTTTTTAAAACGTTTTAATAATAGTAAAGAAATGTTTCTTTATAATTAAGTCCATTAAAATTATATTTATAACTTTTTTTTTATTTTTTACTGAATAAAAATTCATAAGATAATGAAATTTTTTAAAAAAATATTAAATAAAATTTAGAAAAATTATGAAGAAAAGTTTTTGTTAATAAATATCAATTGTTATTTTGTTTTTTAGCTTCTGAAACTCCTGCAAGTCCAGTTGTTGTGGAAGTCGTTAAAAAATTGGAAGATATCATTGCAGATTTGAAAATTGGCGGGCTTGAAACCTTCAAGTTCAACGGCACCGTGAATTTTTCTTTTGAAGACCCAATTAGCGTTATGAATTGGAATTGCATGCTTATGATTGGCGGACTTTATGAGGTTTAAAATTTATTAATTATAGTCATGAACGTCATTTTACTATTTTTATATTCACTAAAATTACTGCAACACGTTCGTTGTATTGTATCTTCGATTTGTGCATTAGCACTAAATAAAATTTGTTACTTGACTAGTAAAAGACACATGTTACGCACTGCCTCTTACATAGAACTTTTTCTGAGCTTATGCTCCTTCACTGGCGGAGCGCCATGCACTTGGGCGCCACCAATCCATATGGAAACTACTTCAATTTATATAGTGACAAAGCAACTATTTTGCTAGGTTTTCCTCGAGTACGCACTACTTGGCACCGAATTGAACCTTAATACGTGCCAGTGTGTTCTTCAATTGTTCCAACACTACATCCCTTATTATAATGCTTTTCAAGAGAAACGTGCCACAGCGAAAGGTTTTTTCTTATTGGTCCCATACTTAACAATAAAGTTTTATTCCTCTTCTCATTGACTATTTTAATTTAAAGGGAAAAAATCGGATAAAATCCACTCTTCCATGTGTTCTCTTGAATTTTTCTTCACATGTTTTCGGCTTGTCTATCAAAAGTCTTCCTTTTCAGATTATTTAAAAAAATTTTCAGGTCGGATTTCTTTCTGCGCACGTGTTAGTCACGTGGTTTGACTTTTTACCAAAATGCTCATTAAATTACTACTAAAACGCTATTTGCACACCGCAAATTTTTTAAAAATATTTGCTAAACTTATTTTATTATTTGGTGCTAAACAACTAAACTGCATCAGTTTTTCTTTCTGGCGCCGTTTAAAGCTCTTTTTAACTCGCGTGAAGCATATTGTTAGTTACGCGACAACCATGATGCAGTTTTTTTATAGACAGCCAATCAAAGCTTAATAAGTTTTTAGTTTTTATTTTTTTGTATATTATAGGGTTTGTCATCTTCATTTTGGAGTCGTTAATAAAATATTTTTCAAAAGTAAGTATTTTTGTTCACTAAAATTATTTCACAATAATTTTGTACATTTTTAGTTGGTCTCTTTAAAAAAAATTTAATAGCATTAGCGCATGCACACTTTTAATAAAGCTTATTTATTGGTGCACGTTTTAAAAAGCCAATCAGCCTTTGTTGTTTACTGCATCCAATCTTTTAAAGAACATAATTTAATTCACCAAAATTGAGGGTTTCTGCTCTAACCCTCATTTTTGCACATCGGGGAGTCTTTCCGTTGAAAAAAGTTTTTTTTTTTTTGGGGGGGGGAGATATTTATTATGGCATTAAAATTCTTGAAATTTTGTATTGTTTTATTTATTTTAAAAACATATGGACTTTTTAATAAAAGTAAATCGTTCTAGAAGACTTTTAATACATTTTTACTTTTCATATAAAAAAAAGTAAAACTCACAAAAAATATGCATTTTCCAAAACATATTTATAGATTTTAAATTGAAATTTAATGAGTTGTATTCTTTTTCAAACCAACTAAAATTTTTTTTTAAGGATAATAAAGAATTTTGCATGGACAGCGAGAAACTGGAACGCCATTGCTTTGAGGTTTTTTTTTTACGTATCACTATTTTCATGCGGACTGACACACAAAAAGATGGGCCCGTTAATAATACTCGCGTACAAGCACGTGCCGTCCTGCTGCTCGGAAACGCTTCTTTTATTGGAGGTCTTCTACCGCGTGGCGCTTGTAGTAGCCAACCAATTTAGCGGACAGTTTTCAGCTTTTATGAAAAGTTCCTTCAAACTTTGCGAAGATACAAGTGACTTTATTCCAACAATTAAAGTGCTTCTAACTTTTAATTATTAACCTTAACATGTGCCATTAAAAAATTTATTAAATATTATTTGTTTCTAATAAAAAATATTTTATGACGGTGAACTGCGCAACATTTCACGTTTCTTCTTCTCATAACTATTTTATAATCATTAGTCCACCGATCATAAGCATGAGGCCCCTACATTTTCAACATTCTAAAATTTTTTTATACTAAAACAATTTTTTTAATGAAAATATCAACTTAACTTTTTTTTAAACAAGAAAAAATGTTTATTTATTTAAGTAGTAATTGTTTTTTTTATTTATAGCGACATGAAAACTTTATAATACTCAATAAAAATAATTTTTTTTAGTGAAAAAAAATTACAACTCAAATATTCAATGAAAATAATATTTTGCTAAGACGATTTCTAAAGAATTAAATTATTTGCGTCTACTAATTATATATTAAGAAAGGACGTTACTTTTATATATTATGTAAAAATATGAAAAGCAGAAAAATTTTATGAACACTTTTTTTAATGAAAACTTTTTTTTAAAGAAAATATTAATGTTTACAATAAAAGTATAATTAAAATAATGACATGAGAACTACGCAAAACTTTGTAAATAACAAAAAATCTATTATTGTTTATTTATTTGTTTATACTTAAAAAAAAACTATAGTCGAAAATATATATAGTAGTAAATTTTTTATATAAAAAAACTAAATAAATATTTATAAAAAGTTTAGCATTAACATATAATCCTAGAAAATAACTTCCAAAGTTGCCATGAATAGTCCGGAGGCCAGTCAGAAAGAAGCGGGGATAATCATGTCGATTTTGGCGGTTTATTTATGCAATAGTAGTTCAACGGAGTTTTGGGTTGCCGAAGCGTACGATTGGGTGACCAGCATTGCTCACAGGTTTTTCTACCTTGACAATAAAAAAAAATTCAAAACTTTGATTGGCTTAAAAAATTTGATAGTCCTACTCAAGACCGCCAAATAGTTAATTATTTTTTTGGCGGTTTTTTTTTGTTACATATTTGGAGGATCTTTAAAACTTTACAATTTTGTTGGCCTTTATCTCCTTCAAATGCTGGGGGAGGGGCGTACATTATTAAAACTTTTTTGTTTTCTAATTATGATTCAGATTTTTCTAAATAAATTATTTTTTTTATTTTTTGTATATAAATAATAACGAAAGCTTTTATTTTAAAATATTTAATAAATATCTCTATATATTTTTTTTGTGAATAACCTCAAATTTGTTGAGTTCCGGTTTTTCCATTTTATTTTTTTAACATTTTTTTTAAGCATATACAAAATAATAATTCAAAAAAATATTGTACGAAAGTTGCTATATAATTTTGTATAGCAAACGCAAGTAAATAAAAAAAGTTAAAAAAAAAACAAAAAAAGTGCTACACAAAGATATGAAGCTTCATTACTTTTAATGAAAATTTTTACTAAAATTGTAAAGTTTTTCTTTTTTTTTTGAATAACCTTCTTTATAGTCTTTTCAGTAAGTGAGCTTGTAATGGGCAAATAAAAACGAATTATAATAATTTTTAGCCGATTGCGTCCCTCTAAATTTCTGTTTTTATTGTATAGAAGTTTATTAATATTTTTATATACAATAATAATAATAATATAGTGATACTTTTTTATAATAAATAAAAAAAATATCATATCAATTATTTTTACGAAACCAGAAATATTAATATTTTAGCCAATGACTTGGATTTATAACAGTTCTACAAATTTGTTATTATTTTAATTAAAAATTTTTATCGTTAAGCTGATAAAATAGAATTATATTTATATAATTTAAGAAAATGTGGACCAATGAATGAATAATTATGAAATTTATAGCCAATAGATTTTAGTTTTTTCAAATTTCGATTTTTTCTAAATAATAACCCTTAAAAAATTTCTACAAAACATCATTATTGTTTAACCCCTTAAAATTTTGGACCAATTAATTTATTACAATATAATCCAATAGCTTTTTTTAAGTTTTACTAAGTGTATGTATAAATTTTTAAGTAATAAAAATATAATAATAAACTTTTTGGTAAGTAAATAAATATTATTTATTGGTTATATAATTTTTTTCTTTTTTTTTTGAGCCTTTACGTTGAAGATCTTTTGTTAGCCAATCAAATGGTTACCGTTTTGCTTATGTCTTCTTCAGGCGGTCTTCATAAAAATTATTTTCACGCGGTAATACCCAAAAAATCCGTTGGCGCTTTATTTGTTGTTTTATTGGCTTTCAATTTATTTTTATTTAAATATTATTTTGTATATAATGGTTATAATCACAAAAATAATAGTATTTAATGAAAGTTTTTGTTATATCATTTTGGTTATTTTATGAATTTTCTATTATTTTTTATAAATATTTGCAGTTTTTCACAAAAAATGGTTATTTTTTTATGACTCCTACTTTCATTAAAAACTGTACTTATAATTAAAACTCTACTATAACTTTTTTATAAATTTTGGGTTGTAGTTTTGAATATTTTTTCTTTGATAAGTAGTTTTGTAAATAATAATTTTATATAGAAATTTTTTAATTTATATTTTTTATTATATTATTCTCGTTTAATTCTTATTAACTTCTAAATATTATTTTACTCTTAAAAGTTTTTTTATATGTAAAAAGTATTTAGTTTCGTAAAACAGTAACTTTTTATATTTTATAGGATCTTATTAAAATTTATTATAAATAAAACTTTTCTAACTGTTTTTGTTAAAGAAATAAATTAAAAAAAAAATAGAAAATTATAAAATAGAAATTATTTGAGTATTTTTTATAATAATTATTTATTATTTTCATTATTTTTATAATTTTTGTACAAAATAGAAGCCAATTTTTAACTTTTTTAAAATTTTTATGTTTTTATTAAATTTTATATTGAAATTTATTCTTTTTTAGATCAAAAGTTTTTAGTATAATAAAATATTAGAATATTATTTTTTAAAAGTTTACTTTATAAATATATATACTATAGTAATGTTTAAGTATATTTTTTATTATTTATTATAATTTTGTTTATCGTTATTTTTTAATTTTTAATAATTTTACTTTTATACCCTTTAAAAATGTATTAAAACATTTTTGCTACTTATTTTTTATTGTTTATTATAATTTTTTTCATTATTTTATTACTTTTTATTAATTTTACTTTTATAAATCTCAAAAAATTTTGTATTAAAATATTTTTTGTAATAAATTTTTAATAGAAAATAATATTTTCATAATTTTAATGAATTACAATTCAAATTGTTTAGGCTCTGCTATTGGCCACTTGTGTTGCTCAACAATTGGGCCATATCCAAACCAATGAGCTTGCAGAAGCTACAGAACTCCCTCTCGTGAATGCAAAAACAGTGTTTGCGGTTTATTATTTTTTGCGCCGTTTTTCTTGAACGATAATACGCAACATTACAGTAGTTAGAATACCAGATTATGTTATAAGGTCAAATTAGTTTTATGATTTTGTAATTAACCAGTAACTTATCACACTACTTTTTGTGAAACTTTTAACTCAGAAAATTTATTTTCTTAAACTTCCTAGTAAACTTCACTTTTGTAATACATTAAAAAATTGTAATGAGTCAACAAATATTTTGAAGTATTTTATTGGCTTAAAACTTATAGTAATAATGAATTTTTTTATTAGATCGTGTCAACCATATTAGAACATTTAAATGAGCACCTCCACGAAATTGATTGGATATTCAACAATCGGTGGGACGTTGTTAGTCAGTTTTATGGTAATCCTCCCAGCAAATATATATTGACTAAAATAATATTACAATTTTCACCGCCATTTTAATACGCGTAAACAATACTACTTTATAAATTGGCGCTTTTGCATCCCAATCGAATTTCGTTAATTTTGCCCGCTAAACCAATATCCTTATTTTTTGTAACCTTAAAAAGGCGGAATACTATTAGAAAAGTACTACAAATAAAACCTCAGTATTTATTTTTTTTTTATATTTTATTACTATTATAATTATTATATAGATTTTTCTTCTGTTACAGTTTTCATTAATATTTTCGTGGAGATTGCCAACATTTTGTCTATTTTTGTTGAGGTTTTTACTTATTATTATCATTAAACAAATAAATATTATAAGTTTCTTAAAAAAGCAAATATAACCAATAAATGAATTTCAAATAAAAAAAAATTATGGAATTGTTATTATTCTTATTAATAACTTTATGATTATGATTATTATTATTATAGTCACTATATATTATTATAATATTTTCCTTATAATTTTGTATTATTATTTATAAATATAATGAAATTAACGTAATTTATTTTGATTAATAATTGTGATTATTAGAATGATTACGTATAAATATTAAACTTTTATGAAGATTGTGCATTATTATTATTTAATAATCCATTTTTATTTTATTTTTGTAAGTAGTAATATAAGTTTATCTTATTTATTATTATTATTATAAATAAACCAATAAAAAATATCATTTTTATTATTAAAGCAAAAATAACCAATTAATGAATCATATTTTAAAAAATTGAAAATTTTATGAAGCTGACATATTAAATAAAAATTTTAATATATACAATATTGTTACAAAAAGTTCCTTATTTTGGTATAAAATATATTATATTAAGAGGATCTAATATAACAATTTAGGTCCGTTTTAAGTTTAAAAGTGCCATTTTAGTCATTGAAATTGTACCATATAGCTTTAATTTGTCCCCTTTTTTGCAGTAGTTTTCTACTAAAAATTGGTTGTAGAGAATTTAGTTAAATCGGATCAATTTTCATTAAAATTTTTCATTATAAATATAAATTGCTTCACTTTATTCTAAATCGGTCTTTAGTTAGCATTCTTTTATGTATCTGTATATTTATAAACAGAAACCTTTTATTATAAGGTACCAAATAACTTTAAATCAAAATTCTTTTCTTCTCTTTTCAAAATGCAGCTATTAACTAAAATTGTTTCCAAATAAACTAATTTAGCACAAAATGATTTTTTTTTTACTATAAATTTTTTCTTCGCCCTCCTCAAGTTGTATTATTTTTTTTCTGCTTACTTACAGAAAACAATACTTTTGCAATAATTTTTCCTATTCTCACGTTACTTTCAATAATAATAATAATATAGAGAAATAAAATGTACCACATAACGTTTAAGTTGTGAAGTTTTCAGTTCTCTGTTGACCCCTTTATTTTTAAATTGAACATTTTAAATTGGGTTAGTTTATCGCATTGCTCCCTTTCAGTAAAAATTGTGTCAAAGAACCTAATTGTTTCTTTATTTTTATTTGCATTGTAAATTATTTTTTTATTACTGTTTATCAATTTTCAAATCTTCTAATAATTATGCTATTAATTATTAATTAATATTTTTACTTTTATTTATTTTTTTTAATTTTTATTATAAAGAAATATTTTTGTAAACTTTTATTTAAATATTTTTTTTCCGGGAGTCTCAAGTTACGGGAACAACAGCTGAAGTGCTTTATAAAAGTTTGAAAAAGTTTTACGAGTCAATTACTGTTTTTACCAAAAAAGTATCTCTTTTCATACATAATAGTTTAATTTTTTTTCTTTCTATGTTTTATAATATAATTTAACTTTTATATAAAAATTATTTTTTCTGATTCAATAAAAGTAATAATTTTACTTTTATAATAATAAAAAAATTCATTTTTTCATTATTTTTGTATTTTCATAACTTGTTATATAAATATTATTATATTCTTTTTTAAATAATTCAAATTTTACTTTTTTTTTTTTTTATATTTTAAAAAAGATCTTTATAGTTCAATTATGTTTGTATTTTTATAGCTTTTCTCTAAAAAAACTTTTTCTTTTTTTTTTTAATACCTTTATTTTTTTCTTATAGATTTCATAGAAAAAAAATTAACTTTTTAGTTTTAATAATTTGTGTATTTTTATTTTTTTATTTAAGATTTTATAATTACAATTTTTATATATTTCATTGAAAATTTATCTTTTTTAAGTTTAGTTTTATAACTAATAGCTTTTCTGTTAACAATATTTCATAATTTTATTTTTTTATATACTTCATTAAAAATTCTAAATTTTTTATTTTCTTTGAATTTTATAATTTTTATATTTAATATAATTTTTATTTCATTAAAATTTTGATTTTACTTTTTTTTCTTTTCATATTATTTATAGAAATATCAACTTGTTTCACTTTGTTTTTGTATGCTTAAAACTTTAATAAATAACAAATAATTTTCTTCTAAAAAGTTCTTTTTATTAATTTATTCTATTAAATTTTCTGTTATATATTTTTTAATCTTCTTTGCTATCTATATATTTTAAAACTTTTTTTTTGCATTTTTTTATACTTTTTTCTTTAACATATTGAATTATAAATTGTTAAATTCATACAATTCCTCGTTATTATAAATTTATTCATTATAATTTATTACTTTATATAACTTTTAGGTTCCTTGTTTTCTTTGCGAAGAATACGAGCAAAATTTTCTCGAACCTTTCATGTCCCTCATGTACATGTGCTCTGTTAGTTTGCCGGAAAGTTTCTATGCTTATCTAACTTTTAACTACGAACATGAAAAGAGCAAGAAAAAAGTTATTATTTTTATTTATTGTAATTCTTTTTTTTTAACGTTTTCGCTTTTATAATATCTATTATTTATTTTTTTGTGCGCTACTTTTTTTTTCATTTGGTTATTTTCTTTATGAGTGCGGAATTTTTATGAATTTATGGAAATAAAATAATGAAGTAAATTTCAAAGTATAATATTTTTGTTGCAAAGATTGTTAAAAAATTTACTAATGAAAAATGCTTCAGTTTGTTATAATATTTTTTTATATTTCTTTATTAAAAAATAGTAATAAAAACTTAATTGTTATTATTATTTATATATTGATGTTTATAAACAAAGTTTTTCTTTTAAATATAATATAAAAAATAATAAAAATAACTCAAGAGTTATGATTATTTATAAAAATATTTTAAATCAAAATTTTTATCAATACAAATATATAATAATTTACTGTTAATAAAAATTTGTTTATTTATATTTATTACTATAAAACTATTCACTATTTTTCGTCTTAGTCAAAAGTAACACGTGAAAGCCGAATAATCCCGAACGTCATCTACGCCGTCGAATCGTTCGAAACGTGTTTGATCGTTTTATCCAAAAAAACAAAAGTTATTATTATTATAATTATCTTTCTTAAACTTTAAATAATTACTTTCCATATCATAATAGTAAAATATATTTAATTAATATTTTTTCGAAAAACTTTTATTAATTTTTATTATTATTATTAAATTATATTTTACAAAAAAAATTAATAACTTATTAAAAACTTTTAATATACATTTTCTATAAAAACTGGAAGTACTGAACAGTAAAAAAATAATAAAAATTAAGAAATATAGTTTTTAGTTTGTAATTTATATTATAAATTTTATATAATAATAAAAATATTATTACTTTTATATTTTCTTACTATAAGTTATTCCATTTAGCATTTTTCATTTTTTTTATTACGATTGTTATTATTTACTATTATTTATTATTACACTTTTTACTATAAAAAATTAAATATTATATGAACTTTATATTTTATTATATATTTATTTAGAAAAACTTTTCGAAGTTTGTAAAACGAAGCACTGCTAGAGACTTCCGACTTTTACATAAAGAACTTGAAAAAATAAGCGAAAATGAAGAAGAGACTTCTCAAAAGGTGGAATTTTTTATTACAATTAATATGATAAATAGAAAAAATATATTTATTTTTTATAAACAAATTCTTTCAAATCTTTTAAAACTGTTATTCTTATTATGAAGAAAAACTTATATTTACTAAAATTTCTATTTCATTTTTATTTTTTTTTAAAAATTTTATTAACTAAAAACTTTTTATAATATTAAAGTAATAATTCAAAAATTTAGTGCCCCACTTCACGATAAAATTATTATTATAAACTATAATACGTCAATTTCTAGTTTATTCTTAAAAAATATATTTAGAAAATTCTTATTATTAAATAAAAAAAATAAATTTTATTGAAGTATTTTTATATGAAAACTAAAATTTTTAAAAGTAATAATATTTATAATATTATTTTTTAAAATAAATAAAAATTTATAATATTATTTTTTTCTAAAAAAAATTCGGCAATACTTTTCCACACGCTTCCAATTTTATATTAAACTTGGTCCCTTTTAAAAGGATTTGCTGCAAGAACTTTTATATATCAGTATTAACAATTTTAGAAGGTTTGGGAACATTCATATGCACACAATAATATAAGTATAAAAGGGATTGCACCCCCCCCCCCCTCACTGCTTGCTTGCTTCAATTTTTTTTTTCTTCTAAACTATTGATTATGAAATTCGAAAATTTATTAAAAATTTTCTAAAGTAAATTTATTATTTTTTTAATTTATAGTTTTTAATGATATAAAAGTGAAAAAAAAACTTAAATAGTAAAAAATATTCTCTAAACAAATAATTTACAGATTATTTAATATACATATATATATATATTAGTTTTTAGTTTCAATTTATATAAAAGTGCATAAAAAACTTTTATTAGTAAAAAAAATATTTTTCTAATCTTAAATAAAAATTTATTCTTATGCTCAATAATATTTCTATAACTTTTAATTATTAATTTTTTATGAATTTTTAAAAATTTTTTTATGTGATTTCATTTTCTTTAATTATTGTTTAATTATACTTTTATTAGTAAAAAATGTATTATAATCATGAATAAATATTTATTTTTACACTCAATAATGTTTTTATAACTTTTACTTATTAATGCTTAAGAATGTAATATTATACTAAATTTTTTAAATTTTTTATTTTTATTTTATATAAAAGTTAAAATATATCAAACGAAAAAAAAAAACTGATTAGTAAAAAATTTATATTTCTGCTCAATAATATTTTTATATAACTTTTAATTACTAAATTTTAAGAAATTTTAAAAACCGTTTTTAATGCAAAAAAATATTTTGTTTGTAATTTTACAAAATGACTTAGTAAAAAAAAAATTTTATAAATATTTTACTAGTCTTTTAGGAAAAATGAAATCTATATTAAAATATTTTATACGAAATAATTTTAAATTTTTTTTGTTATTATCATAAAAATAAAATTTTATAGATAAAAATTTTTAAATTATTTTCTTACAAAAATATTGTAATTTAAAAATTTTTTAACGAAACTTCTCTTTAATAAACTTTGCTCGCTTAATTCATTTAATTTTATTTTTTATTTTAGAAAAATAAAAAACTTAAAACGGAAAATCTCAACCGCCAAAGTATTTAATACCTATTACTTTTCTTTTTCCCTTTTTAGCACCTTTAATAAATTTTAAATTTTTATAAATGCTTGTGTCCAACTTTGATTTCAAGAAATTGTAATGGAAGTTTTTCTTATTAAATTTTAAAAATAAGATAGCAAAAAAATATTTTACTTACAGTTCTTTACATATTTATTCTTCAAATTAGTTAATATAAGTATAATTAAAAAAAAAATTTTTTTAAAATTATAAATTTAGCTTTAATTCCTTTCGGCTGTAGTAAAATTTTAAGGTACTCAAGAAATACAACCGCTCCCTTCTAAAAATTTGTGGGATGTACAGATTTTAGTAGAATAAAATTTCAACAGCGCGAGTAAAATCAATTATTATAAAATTAAGTTGAGCAGCTTTAAAGAAAATTTTAAACCCGAGTTGGGTTTCCCTTTAAAATTAAATTCTCCAATGAATATAAATTTTTTTTTTTTAAAAAACTGCATAAATTTGAAATGTGTTGGATTTTGTCTAGCATTCCGTCAAACTATTTATAAATCAAAAGTTAGTTAATAAAAATAATAAAATAATAAAATAATTAAAAAAAATTAATTATACTAATAAATCTTTAAGTCAACCGAATTGCATCCTTCCAGTATTTTTGCATAAATTGTCTCTTAAAAAAAATTATATATAATTAAAATTAATCAACAATGTAAAAGGAAAAGTAAAACTAATTCTTTAAGATTTTTTTCTTCACTAGACTATTCCAGTTTTGCAAGTTTTGAAATAGTTATTTGCTAGCGAGTAAATAGAAACTGTCTCAAATTTTCAATGCGCTATAAACTTTTTTCGGATTAACTTCTTTAGAAAGTATACAATCATAGGAAAACTCAAAACTGAAGCGATAACACTTTAATATATAATAAAAAAATTTTCTAGTAAGTGAAATTTCTACTAAAGTATTTTCATATTTTGTGAAGTATTATACTTACTATATCTATAATAAAGACGCCTCGCATACGTGATAAAGTTTAAAAGAAATTAAGTTATATTAAAAAAGAGATGAGTAAAGATTTTTTGAAATATAAATATATATTAATATTGATATATAACATTTATATATTATAAACATAAACTATTGTGTTTATAATATATTTATAAGTAATTGTCGTTACGCAAACTTTAATCAGTTATAAAATAAAAAAATCGCTAACCACTTCGTCATTTACTATTGGTAACCTTCTCATTCTCTAAAACTCTACTAAATTAATTCCAAAAGCTCCCTTTCATAAAAAAAAAAGTTTATTTTTTAATAAGGAATGTTTTTAAATCGCTTCAATTTTAAAATAAAATTATCCAAAAACCTTAACTTTATTGAAAACTCTGAATTTTAGCATTTTATTTCCAGCAAATTTTTATTTCAGGAATTAATAAAATTTAATAAACTTCTTACAAAGTGCTTATTTTGAATTAAATTTTACTTTCTTACTATTTATGTTACTAAAAAGAACCTTAAAAAATTTACTACGAAAAACAAATTCTACTTCAAAACTTACCAACAATTACTTAAAATAAATCCAAAGCCCACTAATTAGTATCGGTTTAGTAATAAATGGTATATATTATTTATAAGTCTTCAATATATTACTAAATCTGTTTCAAAAGCACTTTAATATTCATTCTTACTTATTTTCGAAGAAAAAATTTTTAAGGAAAAGAACCTTTCTGTAATGCTTAACTGTAAAAATACGCTTTACTTGTACTAAATCTTTTTCTTGTTTGAGAAGCGTACATTTGCCACGCCTAAAACTTTCCCTGCAGAATCATTTTAAAAATTATTTTCTTAACGAATTAATAAATTCTTAAAACAGAAAAAATTAACTTAATAAAGTTTAATAGTTTCATTTTTCTTAGAAGCCTTACTATCTATGACAATATTTCCGTAAAATATCACTAAAGCGCTCAATATCCCTTCATCTTAGTATAAATAATATATAGAAAATATAATTCCGAGATCTAAACCACTAATAAAGCCATAAAATACTGCAATACTTCATAAAACCGGTAAAACTTTAAGATTCTTCGAACGTTACAAAAGAATTAACAAATTGTATGCGGATTTAAATTAGCAGCTTCGCCAGCGCGTGCAAGCAAATACTTTGTTGACTTAAATTAAACTGCAAGTAAACCGTAGTAATACTACCTTATCCAAGCTCTATACTAGAATTTTAAACTAAATTTAAAAACTACTGTGTCTTTACTAACACTATAAAAATTGAAACGTTTTACAAAAACTACTTCCTCTTTTAAAAGCTTCTATAAAAAGTTATTAAAAGTAGCAAAGTTTTTCTTCAAACGGATCAAAAATTTCTAAATTTCAACCCAAAAATTGAGGAAAAGTAAACCCATTATTATCTGCAAGTAATAAAAAAATAAAAATATAAAAATTTAAATAAATTAAATTATATTTAATAAGTACCAAAATTCAGAGGTAAAGTGTCATCAGGAAGATTTTGATTATTAATAACTGGCTGCTGAAAATCAACTAATATGTATATAGTAAACCTTAATATGTAGTAAAAGAAATTCGAGTATATATAAAAAGATCAAAACATCACTATATATAATTAAGCAAAATTTATCAATAATACAATTGAAAATTGTGCAGTGCTTAAAAAATAGAGAATAAACTTATTTATACACAAATTTTATTTCAAAAGTTAATAAAATTATTGTACTACTATAGGTTCGCGACTCTTATCTTTTTTACTCAATCTATTAAGCGGGAAGAATCCATTTTAAAAATTTTAAGAGCAAAGCGCTAACTATAAAAAAAAATCTAAAAGCAGAAGTACAAGTTTTTAGCTTGGAAAATTACATGTCTAAATTTTTTAAGCAAAGTATATTTTTTTTGAAAGTAGTAATTAAAGCTTCTTAGTTTACCTTAATAATATTTTTGTAATATAAAAATTAAAAAAACTAATAAATTTTCTATTATTTTACTAATATTTATATAAAAATTATTTCTAAAAAAGATTGTTACAATTTTTTATTTTTTCCAGTATAATATTCTAAATAACTAATAAATCTTTTTTATTTCATTTTTTCTAAAAAGTCTTACAGCGTTTTTTATAGACTTATTACCTAAAATAATGCATAACGAGCTCGTACTAAACAACTTTTTGCTTATATTTATGCAAAGCGTTTAAGATAAAAATTTTAAATGCAAAGTAAATTTTGAAATAAATTTTTATCAATTGAAATTTCTTTCATAAGTCAACTGGTTTTTACTTATACTTGTTTTATAGTAGATCAGATTTTTCTTTTAACTTCTGTTAAAAATTAATATATAAGAAGTTTTTCAAGTTTAGATATTAGAGTTTATTAGCATTTGCTATAAAAGTTTAACAATAAAAATTTTATAGTTAAGAATATTTTTCTTTTAACTTCCGTTAAAAAGTAAATTATTAGAAGTGCGACAGATTGAAAGTTTATAAATAAATTCATTTTCTTTTTAATTATATTTATATAATTTTAACAATAAAATTTGAATTAACTAAAAATATGTTTTGGCTTCCATTAAAAAGTAATTTATAAAAAATACTTCAGATTAAAAGTTTCAAAACTAAAATTCGATAGTTTTTATATATATTTGTATAATAAATTTAACTGGAAAAATTTATAGTTAATTAAATTTTTATTTTGACTCTTTTAATAAGTTAATATAAAAAGCTTTCCAAAGCAGTGCAACAAATTTTTTAATAAAATGTCTCAACTACTCCGCACACTACTTCAAAAATTATTAAAGTAAAAGTAAAAATCTAAATCTCTAAATAACGCAGATTTCCGTAAGAAACCTTTCCCTTTAAAATAAATCTGGAATAAATTCAAGGTGAATATTAATATAAAAATAATATATATTACTAAAATAAAGATTTATAGCACTAATAAAAAAATTCTAATATACATAATAACATTAATAGTAATAATAATATTAATTTTGATAATAATAACTCTGATTAACCGGGGTCGGTTATAAGGCGGATATTGATAGTAATGAGTGCAAAAATCTCCTTTAAGAGGCCACGTAGTAGGCAGATGCCCGGCCTGCGGTGGCGGATAATAAAGGGGGCTACACGAGGGCGATGGAAATCCTCGAGGGCTAAAGGAATTTAATGGAAGACGATTCCGCGGGAAGGAAAACGCAGCTCCATCACGTGGGGCAGTTAGAGGGACAGACGGCGTAGTGGCTAATAATTTGTTATAGAATTTTTAAAAAAAACACAATTATATAGAAAAAAATATATATGTTTTCTATATGTAATAAATAATAAGATAACTAATAATATTTATTAGTAACTATTAAAATGAAAAATATAATAAAACTACTAAATTATAAATATAGATAATCTTTATATATTATGTAATTAAAAAAGATAAATTACGTATAAATAAAACAAAAAATATATTTAATATATACATATATATAAGTAAAACTATAAATACATGAATACCATTCAAATGCTCAGAAGCGAAGCCGTCTTGGTTTGGCAATCTAATAGTGGCGCTCATTTTTTTTCGGTCACCCGTTTTCTATAAAACCGAAGAAAAAAGTTTTATATATAATAATAATAATAATAATAATAATAATAATAATAATAATAATAATAATAATAATAATAATAATAATAATAATAATAATAATAATAATAATAATAATAATAATAATAATAATAATAATAATAATAAATTCTCCCGAAACTTCTCTATCGCGAGTTTTTGCATGCGAATTCAATGCCGCTCGTTGTTTAAAATGTTTATGACAGTTTTTTTCTGAACGTTTGTAAGGCCGCTCACTGTTGTGAATGCGTAGATGAGCCGTGAGATTACCGCTCTGAGAAAAACCTTTTTTTAAAAACAAATGTGTATACAGGTGCTCAAAAGTACGACTAACATAGAAAATAATAATAATAAACATCTTTTTTATAATTATATTAAAAGCACAAAGTTGCACAAAACTGTACAAATGATATTATAATAATAATTAGTTTTTATTTAATTTATAAATATAAATATATATTCCGAAAAGCGTTGCACATAACAAATTTTGGCTATATAAATATTGAAAAGATAATAACTTTTATAAAGTAAAATATATTCACATCACAAAAAAATAGTATTCTGAAATTTTTTTTAATAGTGTTATTTAATCAAAATAATTACATAAAACCGCTACCAAAAAAAAATTAATTGATCATTTTATACAAAAGCACAAATTTAAAAGGTTGCTAATTATTTACAAAAAAATTAATGTACGCGAATAGAAAAATATATTTTAATTCGAACCAGATAATTAAAAATTACTAACAAAAAACCCTAATTAGACAAATTTTGTTGTTTGGGCACAAATTAAAAGGTTGCTATTTACCTTCACAAATTAGTAACAAAAATATAAAATTATTGCTATGTTTACAGTTTTATCATATATTGAAATATTATAATAATAATAATAATAATAGTTACTAATTAATATAAACTACCCAAAATAATAAACTTAAAACTTTGAATAAACGAGTGCAAAAAAAAAGTTTATAGTAGTAAAAATTTTCATTAAAAATATTTGTGCAACTACCAATAATTCTTTAATATTAAATTATCCAATCAAAACACTTAAATTAAAAACGAACTGGATAAGTATTAACAGAAAAGAAAAACGTTTGAGAATAAAATTATTTTCCAATAATAATAAACTAATACAAGGAAAAAAGATGATAAAATAAATATTTCTAAATTAACAGATAACATAAACTAATAAGTAAAAGCGATAAACTTGTTGATTAGTAAAAAAACTTCAATAATAAATAAAAAAATATAACTTTCCTTTATTACAAAAGTTGCATGTATACGGTTTCTCCTCAGAATGAATGCGAAGATGAGCCGTCAAGGCGCTCGCTTGCCGGAATTTGGGACAAAAATGGCACAAAAATGGGCACTCGTCTTAAATAGTGAATCAAAAATTATATATTTTTGGTATATAAGAAAAAAATGAAAAATAACTTGTATGAGTGCGTTCATGAGCAACTAATGAAGTCCGTTTCACAAGTTTACCACAAACTTTACACTATAAAATAATATTATAAAAAAAATTAAAAAAATAAATTAACTAAAATTATTATAATATATATAAACTTTATAGTTTAGTTTTATATGAATACTATTATAAACCAATCGAAACTTCGCTAATTACAAAAATGTCCAATCATCAAGCTCAAAATATATATTAAAAATTTCCGCGTTTATATAATAAAAAAACATAAAAATAAATTTTATTAATATATAAAAATATAATACAAACAATACTTATAACAATACTAATAATAAATCTAAAAACTGTGATAAAAGTAGAGTATAATAATAAACTATGGTGTGTATAATAAAAATGATAATAATGGTTATAAAGTGATAAAGCCGAGAAGATATAAAAATTCGAAAAAGTGATTATTCCAAACAATTTAATTTGAAAACAAAGTATGTCAATGATTTAAAAAAATTTGTTTAAAAATGTAATAACAATATAAAGTTGTAAAAAAAAAAGAAAAACAAGAAAACAATAATTTAGTTTCTTAAATTTATTTTTTAATTAAAATTAAATAAATACAAAAAGTTAGTAATAATAATAATTAAGTATAAAAAATATATAAAATAATTTAATTACATTAAGAAACTTACTTGGACGGATAAAATTTTAACATATTTTGTGGAGGAACACAAAACTTTAGATTCTTTATTCTCGTTATTTATCTCAAAATCTCCCGCTAAAATTTATAGAATATAATTCTAAAATATATAAGTATAAAAATATTAATAATTATTTTAGAATTTCACAACTTTATTATGTAAAGCTAAAACTTTATTAAAGATTCCTATGTATTTTTTTAATAAACCAAAACAAAAATATAAATAAGTAAAAAGTTCTGTCGATATTATTCAAAGTCAAAATGGTTATAATCATGATAATATAAGGCGGAAAAAATTTCTTTAAAAATTTGATTTTTACTTTAGTTTCATAAAAAAAACTATTAAATAGTTGACTATAAAAGAGTTGAAGTAAATGGAGTACTCCGAAAGAGTAAACTACGTTCACGAATAAAATAAACTTCTTCTATAATATAAAAATAAAACGATAAATAGCAAAAGATAATAAAAAAAACTCAATTACTTTTAAAAATGGCTTTTATTTAAAAAGTTATAATGAATAAAGGACAGGAGTGAAGCAAGATCCTTAAAAGATGTTAATTCCTAAGCTTAATTATTATAATTAATATGTAATACTTAAACTAGACTGAAGAGTAGAGATGGAAAAACTAGTAGGAAAGGAAGTGGTATTTACATGAGAGATTTACTCCATGAAATACTGTATAATAATAAGAAACTAAAAAAATTTAATCATAATTTTTAAATAAATAAGGCGTATGCAATAGCCATAATGAGAAGCTATATAAACAATAAAATAAAGATATATATATAAATAAAATATATGCAAAGCAAACAACTTTATTAAAAGCTAAAATACATGAGTTGCAAAATAAAACTCTTAAGTGGGCGGGGCAAATGACAAAAGTTAAGTGAAAAATATTTAAAAAAAATGTTATAAAACTACAAATATATAACTTAAAAAATTCGAAAATATAAAAATATATTATATTTTTTTTAAAAAAGGGGAACAAATAAATCTCAATAAATAAAGACAATAAAAAAGTTTATATAATTGCAAACAAATTATCGCTTTAATACCGCAAAAAAAAGAAATTGAAAACAAAAATTAAAAAAAAGCATGTGACATTACATTTTTGTCAGACATAAACAGTTTCAATTGGTTAAAAATTAGTTTCGGTCTGGAATAAAAAACGCAGAAAAGTAAAAAATATACTAATTTTGTGAAAATTTGGAATTTATTATTTTTAGTAAGTTTGCGTTACTTTTTTTTTCCCCACATTATTTCTTACTAGCTGAATAAGTCTACTGTAGTTAATGCCACATAAAGGGACAGCAAACCTCGGGCAAAATAGTATATGCTAGAAAATAAACGAGTTAAGAATTTTCCGGTCATTGGTCACCTCGGACTTTCTTTGTTATACAACTAGTTAAAAAAAATTAAATAAATTTATAATAATCCACAAAAATAATTTACTTTTTCTTTTTTTGTTTTTAAAGCTTCAATTGATTTTAATAGTTATATCTACTTATCTATGTGTATGAAACTGTTTTTTTAAAAAAAAATACTATATGCTTAATTTTTTATTAGATAGTCAACTCTTCATCATAATTGAAAGCCGGTAGTTTAGAAGATTTGGCTTGTAGCAATACAGACTGGCACTTTTTATTTTAACTTTCCCCACATCAAGCGAAATGTCAGAATTTAGGTCTGGCATGTTTGCGCTACTATTATTAATTAAGAAAATAATATTAATATTAATATTGATGTACGCTCGTGTCTCAAACTCAACTAGATAACACAGGTTAAGTTTCGGCTTCACAAACACTATAGCCTTATGCTAGGAAAAAAAAAATAGGTTTCAAACATTTATAAATGCGTAAAAGAGATAATTAGCATTGTAAACATGCATCTTTTCTTAGTTTTCGTAAAAATATTTTCTTCCTGTAACTTATGTTATTCAACTTGTTAAGGTCTAATTAATTCTTTTTAAACCTACAAAAATTCTAGGTCTTAGTAGAACCGTTACTTTTAAGTTATTGAGAATTATGAAGTCAGGAAAAGGTAGTGCCTTTAGGTATACTGGCTTGTATCCCTTACGTAATTTCCGTCAAGAGGTAACAAACTTATCTAAAAAAACCGAAGGAAAAAGGGGTAATTTTGTAATTTTTTTTAAAAACTTTATAGGATAAGAGCATCTTAAGGATTATTAAAATGACAAGATTTCGTCCAAGAAATTACTAACCTCTATTCCTAATACAAACGTGCCTCTACCAGAAAATTAGACAGTGCAATTTAACAACAAATTTAATTAAATATTAAGTAGCCCCCTCTTTTTCGTTTTTATCGACAAGAGAAATATATCCTGTGTCAGTTGTAATCCATATACTCTCCGTCAGGAATAACTTTTTTTGAATATCCTACAGCATTTGTGATAATAATATATTAACAGTTAAATTTCTTTTTGATAGAGCGGTTTAGAAAGGAGCCGAAAGCAGACGGCTGCGGTGACATGCTCAGGTATATAAAAAAATTTTATCGCGAATTTACCATAAAAAGTAAGCCGATGCTCTAATATTTATTAAGAATTTTAAAACTTTCTTTTCTAAAACTAATCGGTGTTATCGCAACCACAATAGCTCCTACATTATAGCTACTGTACTGTTTCAAAACCAGTAGAAAATCTAAATAAAGTTCACTCTTTGTAGTATTTAAATTTTAGCATAACTTTTCAAACCAAAAAACATGTATTGTATCCCTTTTATACTCATCCACTATTCTAACTTTGTATAAACCAAACCCCTACATGCAAAATTATAATACTTACATAATTTATTTTATATTTTATTATTGCTATTAAGTTTATATGATTCACGATAGTTAGGTATTTTAAAGACCTTATGATATGGTCAAGGGACTTGATATATGGAAAACTCCAATGTTCACTAACAAAAAACTTTTCTCCATAGTTTTTAATTATGCTTAAAAAATTTATGAGCTTAACTCCGTTATTTATTACTACCTGCACTTTATTTAAATAGTATAATTTTTTTTAAAAAAAATGCTTATTTTATAATTTAATATTATAGTATAATATTACTACCTTCTTTGACCTCTTATCGAGAAGTTTTGTTTTGTTAGTGGTTTATATAATAAAATAAAAGTTTAGTAAATTTACATGACACTTTGTATGCAAACTTTTTTTTATCTAAGGTCCTAAAATTACTAGCTTGCTTTTATTTGTGTACTAAAGATTCTTAATTTCTTATTATATTAAACTAAATACACATTTTTAAAAATTAACTTAATTGCAAGTTGCTTAAGTTAGCTCTGATTAACTAGTTACTGCTTAAATTTTTTAAAATGCTATAATATATAAAAATTTAGGTGGGATTATATACGACCTAAAAGAAAGTTATAGGGTTTACAGACTTTATTTTTTACCTTAACTTTTAAGTTACCATATATATATTTCTTTTAATACACCAATGATGTTTAGTTAATAAAGTTTATTTATCTGTTTTACCACAAGATCACAAGAATTTAACTTTTTTTTAGATGATCTACCCATTTAGTGAAAAATTTTTATATTTATCAAAAAAGTGTTGCAATACTAAAATTTAAAAACTTTATATATATCGTTAAAATATACCAATTAACTATTTACAAGTTAAATAACTTTATCTATAAACTGAGAAATATTTTAACATCAAAGATATGGTAGCTATAAATAAATAACAAATAACCAACTTAACAACGAAAATGTTTGTTTAGAAATCATGAGGCGAGGGGAACCTTACTTTTTTACCTTCATTCTATTTTTAAGCTATGCCACCTTTTCTCATGGTCGGAACCAAATTAACTCAACTTTGGAGTATTTAAACCCCTACAACCATAAAGACAATCGCTTTGAAAATAGGGTAACAGACTACTTAAAATGGAACAGTGGAAAGGCTGGCTCTAATAAAGATGAAAATACAAAAGAGAAACTAAAAAATTACGTAGACCCTCAAAATTGGAACTCATTTCAGAAAGCTAAGGAGAATAGTGAATACGCTGGACAAAAGGTAAAAGATTATATACCCGACAGCTGGACTAAAAATGAAAATAATAAGGGTACTGGTGAAAAGGTTAAAGAGTATTTAAACCCCTGGAACTATAATGACAATCGCCAAGAGAGTAGAGTGACAGACTATTTAAATTGGAACAGTGGAAAGGCTAGCTCTAATAAAGATGAAAACACAAAAGAGAAACTAAAAAATTACGTAGACCCTCAAAATTGGAATTCATTTCAGAAAGCTAAAGAGAATAGTGAATACGCTGGACAAAAGGTAAAAGATTATATACCCGACAGCTGGACTAAAAATGAAAATAATAAGGGTACTGGTGAAAAGGTTAAAGAGTATTTAAACCCCTGGAACTATAATAACGATGGCCAAGAAAGTAGAGTAACAGACTATTTAAATTGGAACAGTGGAAAGGCTAGCTCTAATAAAGATGAAAACACAAAGGAGAAACTAAAAAATTACGTAGACCCTCAAAATTGGAATTCATTTCAGAAAGCTAAAGAGAATAGTGGATACGCTGAACAAAAGGTGAAAGATTATATACCCGACAGTTGGACTAAAAATGAAAATAATAAGGGTACTGGTGAAAAAATTAAAGATTTCTTAAGCCCAAATAAGAATTATAAGGAGGCGGGCATGTTCGATTCTATAAATCCAAGTAAATGGACGAAAAAGAACGCTAACGTAAAAGATTACCTAAATCCTAAAAAATTTACGCAGAAAGAAAGTACTGGAGAGAAAATTAAAGACTATTTAAAACCTAATAGTAATAAATGGACGGAAAGAGATGCCAATGTAGAAGATTATTTAAATCCTAAAAAGATAACTCGTGGCAAAAGTTCTGGAGAGAAGGTTAAAGACTACTTAAAGCTTAACAGATGGACGGAAGACGACGTAGAGGATTACATAAACCCAAGAAAATGGTCTGGTAATGAAGAAAACACTAAAGGGTATTTAAATCCCATCAAGGCAGCTGCAAGTAAAGATACTGATGAAAAAGTTAAAGATTATATATATCCTCA